TGTGTGTGTGTGTGTGTGTGTGTGTGTGTGTGTGTGTGTGTGTGTGTATACACGCTGGGGGGAAGATCTGATAAAAGAACAGAGTCCTACAGAGGCTAAGTACACAGAAGGATGAGTTTGATAAAATTAAAATAAATATCCTCACATTAAAGAAACTGCCTTTTACCCTTCTCTCCTTGGCATATATTACTGACAACGGACACATGCTTACATCAATATATGGTGTTAAATCCAAGAGGGGAAAAATGAACCAAAAGAAGACACCTATTAATAGACTATTTCTCAAAAGAATGAAATTATGGAAGCATACTACTTAAATATGAGAAATTCCACTCAAAACTGGGTAGCATTTATCCTTTATTCTCATTTATCTCCAAACTGTGGACAATTTGGGGTAGTCTCCTGTAGAGGAAATGCAGAACTTGCAGAAGAAATAGTCTAAGTGGCCCAGAGAGTTGATGATGTGTTATTCTGAGCCACGATCGAAAGACGCAGCCTCTGACTAATTGTTTGCTTGTCTTTTGAGATGTGACACATTCTGCCCCCAAAGAAGTTACACCACGGATCAAATATTAAGAACACTTCAAAATTCATCTCGAAATGGCTCCCCCGAACTATCCAGTACATTTAGTGCTCTAGGCAAAGCTCAGTTCAAATCAAGAAAATTTTACGTCCTGTTTCTCAGCAGCAACGGCATTAGCTCTGTCATCCTTACACATCCAGGCTGAACTTGATGATGACTTAAGTTTCACCTTAGTAAGGCTCCAGAATCAAACACCTGAAGCAATCAGGCCAATGGAGAGAGCACATGACTATTAATCATAAGACCCGAGTATCAGACTCGGAACTGCCCTACACTCAGCTTTGACAATTCATGTCTCTGACTGTCTCCATGCCTCGATATGTCAGTCAGTGAAACAGGAACTATATAATTTGCTATGAAAATCCATTACGTGAAGGATACAGAGACCATGATATGTCTGAACACATACAGTCAAAAAATGTATGGCAGATTCTATGTGCTAGTAGAAAGCAAAGGGCACAATAATTTGAAATATAAGTAAATGTCTGTAAATGAGAGATAGATCGATATTTCCTATCTCAGTATCAGAGATGTCAAAGTTAAATAAGTACACTTGAGTGATTATGAAAAATTAGATATTTAATGGTATGTATTTGTCTCAGAGGATGATTCACATACTCTGTTTTGGCTGCTGGGAAACTCCTGCACCTATGTCTGAACATGCAGTTTCGCTGCTCCCTTAAGAACACTCCATCTTAAGAGCCGTACTGTTTGCCTCATTCCACCACGGGAGGTTTTTAACGCTGTCGAACATCTAACAGTGTACTGCTTAGTCCCCCAAATTTCAGCAGGTCTTATCATAAAAATATCACCCACTAAATAAAGCTGAATGTGGGAAAAACATGCTCAATCCCAAAGGCAGGTGCTACTCCACCCATGACCATGATCATCACGAGAAAGGGAGCAGCCCCACTGACTCACTCACTCTTTGGCAGATACTCCGCATCACTTTCGTTCCCACTGGTTTCACCTGAAAAGAGAGAAAGAGTTTCTATTTGTCTTGTTCGACAGTAGGGAGTCCATGGGGATGAGAACAGTGTAAAAGTCTCCATGGGCCGGGAGCCCTGGAGTCAGGGGTAATAAGGACGCTGAGCCGTTCTCCAGACCACCTGGTTACAACAGGGTAGGGCAGTCACAAAAGAAAACAGCCGCTCACGACCAGAGGGGCAACTAATCTACTCTAGCTCCTTCCCACACCCCACCTCCCTCCTCAGCTCCCAGCTCATCCCTGATTCTAAGAAGTCTGGTTCAGAATAGATTCTATTGCTACATTCATGTCCTTGTCCTTATATTCCCAAACAAGATATCAAAGGTAGACACCAACCTGGCTAAATAAAAACCTCAACACAGAACCAACCATGAATTCAGAGTAAAAGGAACATGTGGGGCTCAGAGGGATAACCACACAAATTTACGGAGAAACATCTGAGCTACTTTATGGTGCTTCTAAGCTACTTCTAGGCCAAATTCAGCATTCGTTTACTCCGAATTCTTACAGTGCTCAGTCTGCTTTGAACTGCTCTTATTTTCCCCAGATTTTAAGTACCTTGGTTATAAGAAGCTATGCTTTTACAAGGGGGTATTTTGCACCACAGTGCTAGACACATGGCCAATTTACACACATACACATACACACACACTTATACACAGAGCTTTCTGAACAAGTGAATGAAAAATTTCTAGATTAAGTCTGAAAAGTTAAAGCAAAATTTAAAAGTGCACGGACAGGGAAAAACCTTTCTGTAACCTGCTTTCCTTTCCCTTTTCTTTCTTTCCAGACACTTCCAGAGGTTACTAAGGGGCGTGTGATGCTAAGCACACAAATAGGACTTTCTGTAGCAAGAAAAACAAGGCTAGGAGTCATAAATGAAAAATATATAAGCTTGATGATGTAAAAATGGAAATTTCTCCCTAATAAAAATTACTAAATTCAAAACGTGAATGATAAACTGGGAAAATAACTGTGATACACATTGCAGACACAAGGATAAATTTCTTCATATTCAAATAGCGGTTACAAATGAATTAGAAAAATTACAGCACAACAGAAAAAGGAATAAAGGGTAGGAATAGACAATCTATACAAAAAGATTTATAACTTTCTATAAGCATGACAACTGTCCAAATTTAAAATTAAAGAAATGTAAATTAAAATAGTAAGTAAGCTACAATATTCAACCGTGCCACGGGAAAAAATAAAAAGCTTTAATAAAACACAGTATTAGTAAAGATTATGCGAAAAAGTCATTTTCAAATGCTTTCCGTAGAAATATAAGCAGTTATTATAATCTGTGGGGCAATTTGGCAGAAGTCATAAAAATTTTACATGTACATATTTTTTGGTTAAATCCAATGCTAGGTACTGATTCTATAGCTGTATTCTTACCAATATACAAAGTTATATACAAAAAGATATATAATGCAACATTGTTTGCAGAGCAAAAAAATATATATACACGTAGAACTTCAATATCCATAGGTTAAATAAAGTGTGAAACAACCAAAATGTCTATTATGTGTTGATACTAAAAGAGCTCTGAAATATATTAATTAATTTTTTTTTTTTATTTAAAGCAAGATATACAAAGTCTGAATGGTATAAAAAACTATTTGGGTAGGGGCGCCTGGGTGGCTCAGTCAGTTGAGTGTCCGACTTTGGCTCAGATCATGACCTCGCAGTTTGTGGGTTTGAGCCCCGCACTGGGCTCTGTGCTGACAGCTTGGATCCAGGAGCCTGCTTCGGATTCTGTGACTCCCTCCCCCACGAGCACTCTCTCTTTCTCTCAAAATTAAATAAACATTTAAAAAATAAACAACACAATTGAATTATTCACTCCTCTTTAAAAAAAACTATTTGGGTAGAAAAACTATTTGCATGTGCATAAAATTTTCTGGGAGTAGTAGGAGGTTTGGGAAACCTTGGGTTTTCATTTTTTTCTCATTCTACATTATTTCAATATTTGCTGTGCTCATTTAAATTTTATGATAAGGAATAAGAGAATGCTAAAAAATGTTGCTTCCTCATAAGACATGTAACAGAAAAAGTACCTATTTAAATACTGTGTACTGTATAGGTTTGGGGGGTTTGAATTTTTTTTTTAAGTAGGCTCCATACCCAAACATGGGGCTTGAACTCACCACCCTGAGATCAAGAGTTGCATGCTCTACTGATTGAGCCTACCAGGCGCCCCCTTTTTCTTTTACTAAAAAAAAACTTTTTTAGGGGCACCTGGGTGGCTCAGTTGGTTGAGTGTCCGACTTTCGATCTTGGCTTGGGTCATGATCAGGCGCTGTCAGTGCAGAACCTGCTTGGAATCCTCTCTCCCTCTATCTCTCTGCCCCTCCCCCACTCACATGCCTGTGCTCGCTCTCTCTCTCTCTCTCTCTCTCTCTCTCTCTGAAAATAAATAAATAAACTTAAAATATTTTTAAAAATTAATTTATTTATAGTAGGCTCCATGCTCAATGTGGGGCTTGAACTCATGGCCAATAGTCCCATGCTCTTGTATACATTTCAGGTGTGCAATATAGCCATTTGACAAGTGCATACATTATGCTGTGCTCACTGCAAGTGTAGCTACCATCTTATAGGCTTTAAACTTCAAATTAACCACCATGATAGAAAGCACACTGGAGTTATGACATATTACTCAGCATGAAGGAACAAACACCGTGAGCTCCTGAGTCCTGTTTGTGTCCTTAGCATCAGGCACTTCTTAGGGGCCTATCAAGTGTCTGGAAAGAAAGAAATGAAAGGGGAAAGGAAGGAAAAGTAATACAATTGGAAGAGACCCTACAAAAGCTCATTTAGGTGGCTTTCCTCTATTCACATCTGTAGGTTTTGATGATCCGTGTTCCAAGAAATTGAATGATGGTTAAGGGGCTTGCTTACAAGCCAATAGGAAAATCTATTTAGAATCTATAGGGATCAAAAAAGAAATAGGTTGTCCGTTTTTTACACGTGACTTCAACACACAAAATTATAATGACAGAACTGAAGAAGAGCAATAAATCATTTTGTAACAACTGATAACTAAAAGTTAAGAAATGTTTAGGTTGGAACAGATTCAGTAAAACCTAGCATGTACTGACAGAGTGGGTAAATACAATTATCTGGTTCTACCAGTCATTGTTGATCTACAGACAAAAGCTTAAGGAGGAAAACAAAATCTGAAAATGTAACTGTGGAGCCAAGAGATTCTCAGGCATGAGACAACTTCCTCCGGCCCACAGGAGGAGTTGGTTACAGAGGCTGGGTAAATGCATATTTTCTTTGAGCCTTGCAAAAGAAAAACACACTTGTGGGGAAGAGTTACAACTTAGATCCGGATTGTTGTAAGTTCGCAATTCATTCTGTCGAGTTTTTTCCAATAACGATACAGAGAAAAAAAGACTTGGCTTTTCAAAACTTATCTTAGAGCCACATTTACTGAAATGTTCCTAATCCATAAGGCATAAGACATACAAATAAAGAGATCAGTAAGAACCTACTTAGTGCAGCATAAGCATCGAGAATGTAGCTGCCAGTAGACTGCTATTAATTTAGGAAAATGGTAATGTTTCAGAAGAATTTGTCCCGGCCCCAGTGTCTTGAAATCTTACATAATTTGCAATTTACAATTTATTTCCTTATCTAGAAACAGTTGACAATAATGTCTGCCACAAAGGCTATTTAGAAGATTAATGATAATGCGTCTAAAAGGGTCCAGAATAATAGCTGGCACCAGTTTTCATCTTCTGTACCTAGTTCTGAAATATACACATAAAAAGCCTTTGACAAAATCCTTGTTGAGGATAAAAAAAAACACATGGAGAAATCATTAAACTGCTAAAAATCAAGATTTACGAGAAAAATGGCGAGTAACTGTTGGTGACAGAAAAGGGTAGGACTTCATGGTCCCATGCTCCTTTCTGCAAACCGACACTTCCTCCCTCCACTGGCTCGGCTTCTTCTTCTGTAAAATAAGGACAGTCCCTGCGTCCTAGTGTTGTCATATGTTACACATGAGATAAAGTATGTAGAAAATCTATTACTTCATTAAGTGGTTCCTATTAGCAGCAATAACCAAAATGATTTCTTCTGCGGCAGAGAAGATGAGAACATGTTTTGATCACTGCTTTTGAAAATATGGAAACTTGTATCTAAAATGGTGACTAGTTGATTTTAGAGTAAGAAGAAAGAGGCTCAAATTGGAGCAGGGAGGATTTTATTTTCAGATAGTAATTGTTGGAATGCAGAACAGATTTTCAAGGGAAATTAAGAAATTTCTGTCTTTGGACGTCAGCAAAAATAGGAAACATTCTTCTCTGGTTATGACTTGGCTGTTGTTTCTCACTTGACAAAAACTGCTAAATTCTGCATGTTCTTTGTCAGAAAACCAAGTTAAGAATCTTGCATGAGGCTAAGAAAATTCTAATAATTCACTATGGATGTTCGGAGTTTCTTAATTAAGACAATGTAAGGTTTGGGTCTCCTGGGTGGCTCGGTTGGTTAAGTGTCCAACTGCAGCTCAGATCATGATCTCACCACTTGTGAGTCCGAGCCCCGCGTCAGGCTCTGTCCTGACAGCTCAGAGCCTGGAGCCTGCTTTGGATTCTTTATCTCCCTCTCTCTCTGCCCTTTCCCTGCTCACTCTGTCTCTCTCAAAAATAAAAAAACATTAATTTTTTTTTTTTTTTAAAAGACAATGTAGGTTTTATCTAGGCATCTGAAGGATGAAACTACTACTGAACTTAGTAGATGACTACCAGTTCTGTGCCACATACCTGTGGTCTCTATATACCTAATATTCTCGGTTCTACTGAGAGTCTAACTGAAAGAGTCTATATTGAAAGAGACTATAAATCAGTCGGATTATAAAATAACGCAATCTGCCTATGAAAATTAGTCTCATTGGCAGGGATTTGAGGAAGAATAAGAAATAATCCCTTATCTTAAAGAAGTTATATTTAAGTGGGATAGATAGGAAAGTAAACCAAGAATTATAATTTACATAAATGTTAAGTTATATGACTCTCCCCTCAAATGCTGGTAGCTCTGGACAGCTGCAACAATTCTTACCTTTTGAGGGAGGTACGTCTTTTCCAGTGTATGGGTGTAACTTTACCCTCTTTTTCCCTCTCTTAGACTCAAATACATCAGCAATTTTCAATACGAGCTGAAAAAAGACCAACAAAGCACAAGTTAAAACTAACACCAGACACTTGGGTGGCTCATTTGGTTAAACGTCCCACTTTGGCTCAGGTCTTGATCTTTCAGTTTGTGAGTTCAAGCCCCACATCGGGCTCAGTGCGGACAGCACGGAGCCTGCCTTGAATCCTCTGCTTCCCTTTCTCTCTGCCCCTCCCATGCTCACGCACTCTCCCTCTCTCTCAAAAATAAATAAACATTAAAAAGGTTTTTTTAAATAATAAAAATTTTATTTTTAAGTAATCTCTATGCCTAACGTGGGGCTTGAGCTTACAACCTCAAGATCAAGAGTCACATGCTCCACTGACGGAGCCAGCCGGGTACCTCCCTTTTATTTTTTTTTTAAAGATTCAACACCAAGTTTTCATATTAATTTACTAATGATTTTCACTCAGAGAAAGATCCTTTTTAAAAGTAAAAACCTTGACATTTTTTCAATTTTGAATCTAAACTGATCTTTAGTAATATGATATGTTGTTCTAATAGAAAATCCATATAACATGGGTAGAGAAGGAGGAAAGGCTATCTTCTTTCCAGAAGGACCCAGCACAGGCTCTTCGAGAGATTCCTTGTCACTCCACATCACAACATGCAAGAAACCTGCCTATTGCACTCTGGTTTTTTTTTTAAATTCATTCATTTATTTATTTTAATTTTTTAAATGTTTATTTATTATTGAGAGACAGAGAGAGACGGAGCATGAGCACAGGAGGGGCAGAGAGAGGTGGAGACACAGAATCTGAAGCAAGCTCCAGGCTCTGAGCTGTCAGCACAGAGCCCAATGCGGGGCTGGAACTCAGAAACTGTGAGATCATGATCTGAGCCAAAGTTGGACGTTTAACCAACTGAGCCACCCAGGTGTCCCATGCACTCTATTTGTTGACCAAGCCTTTCCTATCACCCAGAGTAAGAAGCAGAATACTCCTTCCACTTGGAAGGTGGGGTAAGGCTCAGTTATTTCTGTTCCCAGGAATTCTTCACAAAAAGATAATCACGCTGACAAAGCTTTTGTTAAAGCAAATACTCTCTTTGCTACTGGGCGCACTAATATTACAATTTATTTTACAAATGTCATAAAAATAGGAGGCTCTCAAATGTGCTTTAGGATGAAAACCAGGTTCCATTTAAAAAACATACTCAGAATTTTCTCCTTTGCTGCTGGGAGGTGTGTGTGAAAGAGACAGATAGACACCGACAAACACAGACACACATACACAGAGTAGGGTTCAAAAAGGAAAGATGGGGTTCCTGGGTGGCTCAGTCAGTTGAGTGTCTGACTCTTGATTTTGGCTCAGGTCATGATCCCAGGGCCTGGGATTGAGTTGGATTCTTTCTCTCCTTCTGCCCCTCTCCCCAACTTGTGCATGCGTGCTATATCTCTCTCTCTCTAAAATAAAAAAAAACTTTTAAAAAGGAGGAAATATGTGTCAACAATACTCAAGTAAAAAAATATTTCAGGGGCGCCTGGGTGGCTCAGTTGTTTGGGTGTCCAACTTTGGCTCAGGTCATGATCTCACGGTTCGTGAGTTCGAGCCCCGCAACGGGCTCTGTGCTGACAGCTCAGAGCCTGGAGCCTGCTTCGGATTCTGTGTCTCCCTCTCTCTCTGTTCCTCCCCCGCTTGCACTCTGTGTGTCTCTCTCTCAAAAATAAATAAAGATTAAAAAAATTTTTTTTTTAATTTTTTTTAAAAAGAGGAAAAAAATCAAGCTGATGAACAGCAACTTTTTAAAAAAAATTTTTATGTTTTTATTTATTTTATTTAAAAAAAAATTTTTTTTTCAACGTTTATTTATTTTTGGGACAGAGAGAGACAGAGCATGAACGGGGGAGGGGCAGAGAGAGAGGGAGACACAGAATCGGAAACAGGCTCCAGGCTCTGAGCCATCAGCCCAGAGCCCGACGCGGGGCTCGAACTCCCAGACCGCGAGATCGTGACCTGGCTGAAGTCGGACGCTTAACCGACTGTGCCACCCAGGCGCCCCTGTTTTTATTTATTTTTGAGAGACAGAACATGAGTGGGGGAAGGGCAGAGAGAGGAAGACACAGAATCTGAAGCAGGCTCCAGGCTAGCACAGAGCCCAATGCAGGGCTTGAACTCACAAACCGTGAGGTCATGGACCCGAGTCAAAGTCAGACACTTAGCCTAAGACTGAGCCACCCAGGCACCGCAGTGAACAGCCACTTTTGAAAGGAGGAATTGGGAGGCCTGGCTGGCTCAGTCAGAGCATGCGGTTCTTTATCTTGGGGTTGTGAATTTGAGTCCCACATTGGGTGAAGAGATTGCTTAAATAAACAAACTTAAAAAAATAAAAAAGAGGAATTCATTAGTTTTCCATGTTTATTTCTCTTTCTTCTTAAAATTCCAAGCTTTTTCTTAATTATTAATCCTGATTTAATATATTTAATGCCTCAAATTACAACTGTTAGGAACATAAGAGCCAACAAAGTTTGAGAAGAATGTTCTTGTTTTCTCTTTTGTCCTTGTTTCTCCAGCAATCCTGGCAATCCATAGGCGGTGAATCAGTCCAGCACAAGAAAAATAACATGTGAGAAACATGTGCTTCCAATATGCAGATTATTCCCACATTTTGGATGCGTTTGTTCTTTTAAAGATTTTTGTAGCTGCCATTCAAGTGAAAAATTACCAGTGTTCTTAAATATTACCATTGTAAAAAAACAAGAGAATCCAACATAAAAAGGTATTGTTAGGGGCTATAAGGAAAGACATATGAAAGTAAACATGTATTTTGGGGACATAATGAACAAAAATAGTATAATTATTAATGAGCATCTGAAAATTACACTCAAAAGTAGACTCAAATATTATAAAGGAAAGGAACTATCTGTTCTAGAACTATGAGATAAAGTAACAAAATGGAAATTTTGGTTATGAGTTAGGAAGAGTTACCTTGCGGTTGTAGGAAATGTTGTAGAATATTCTTCCTAAGGAATGGTAGAAACCATATTGCTATACACACTTGACGCGACAATATGAGACATTAGGAAATCTATTGTAGCAAACAATCCCACACAGGCTTTCACAGGAGGGAAAGAGAGGAAGGGTGGGGAACAGGCATATGGACTAGATCAGTGATTTTCAAACTATGAAACCAGTTTCCTTTCCAGGGATAGCTCTAGTCATCAAAGGGGAAGTACATGAAAACTGCTTTCCTGATGGAATGTTGTTGCTGAAGATACCGAGAAGTCAAAATCTGATTTGCAAGTAGAACATGCTAATAGGATTTAATCCAAGGAGGGTGGCAGTAGAAATGCTAACAGCTTGTTCCTGCCTGACTGTCAAGAGTAAGAGTTCATGGTCATATTTTTCCACCTCACTTCTCAAAAAGACCACTGGGGAAAAATTAGAAAAGGAAAGTTGGATAATATCACCCATAATCAGAAAGAGAATAAGCTTTGAGTACTTGGGGGATCCACATTACCTAAAATACTGAGGCACGAAATTAAAAGAACTGCAAATTTCCTTCAATCTCATTAAAATCTACAATCTATTATTCCCAAATATTTTGTTAATGTCATTCCAAGGACAATATCTTAAATGCAGTTCCTTCTGTGTTTGTATTCTCACCCCTGTGAACACATGATCTGTTGTCTCCGGGCATGTGGGAGGCTGCTTTGTCGTGCCAGCATGATATATCAGAGGACTACTGTAGAATGCCCAGCAACTCTTTAAACATATGATTTTACATATTCTTCACCACACACAGGAGATTAAACAGTTGAGGATTTTTTGGTTTCACTGACAGAGATCTGTTTAGTGCTTTTTTAAAACTGTGTGTCTTTAACTCTTCACATATTAAGGAGGGAGGGGCAGGAAATAGATCAGAAGAATTAAAGTATTGTGGAACAGAATATTTCCCAAGGAACCAATCAGCAGTTACTAAACCAAGAAACAGCTGTGACTTTTGTTTAATGTTAAAATCAGGTGCAAAAATTGTGTGCTAAATAGATACATATTGCTAATTCAGATGGGATTAAGGAAGACTATTTAAATGATCTGCTCTTTTTTTTCATTTCTACATAGTTACCCTGAAAACATTCTGAATTACAGAAGAACCAAGTAACATAAACATTTAAAAATGTTGTCATGCAGTTTCTGAAATGTCCCTCCTTAAAAAAAATATATCTGTCTTAAAAAACATGTATCTGTCTACAAATAATCCCAGTTTCTTCATTTTGGTTCTAATAGCTAATATTTGGTTCTAATAGTCAACATAATTTAGATTTATTGCCTTTTCCCCCTTGAGAGAGATATCAGTTATTTAATGTAATCGCTAATAATTTCTATTCCCAAGAGTCAAATTTCCTTTCTCTTCCCGCTGAATGGAAATTTTTGCCCCAAATTAAAGGTACATATTTTGTTATTACTGAAAATGTGTAAACTCAGGCACAAAACAGTTCCCTTCAGCAATTATATATATGAGTGAGAATAACCACACTGAAGCCAGCATCGTAGAATGTCCTCTTATAGGAGATTCTAGTGCTTCCTTGACACAGGCAGCTGATTTTAATGAGAGCTAAGGTAAATGAAGTGAACCCTCCATCTAAAATCAATTTTCCAAATCCATAGAGAAACCCTGGCAAAAGCCACTCACGCATTTTTCTTTCATGAGCAAAAACCTAAAATTTAAGGCCGCTTTCCAAATCTTCTCATCCCAATAGATCAGTTCTAACCTAGGATTCGTTCCAGTCTAAAGTTTATTTATTCTCATTTATGGAAATGAAGTAAGGGTCAAAGAATTAAAGTACTGGAGTCCTTACCCTTGGAAGATTTTTCCTTTTCCTGTTTGCAACTTCTCCAGCTCGGAAAAGCTTCCATTCCGTTAAAGTGACAGGCAAAGTGGTATCCTTTGTGAGCTTTGACCGTAAAAAAGCTTGGGAGGTCTTCAGTTCCATAGTCTTCCGGTGCAGGAACTGAGGTTTGGGAGGAAGCTAAAACAGGAGAAGATGTACCAGTAAGGGTAAGATCATCTAGGTAATGCCTATGTTCTCAAGGCCAAGTTATTTCAGAAAAAGATTTATCTTGTCTTTAAAGTCATCTCAGTTGAGGATACCATAATTCCTTTTTTGACCATTTGTAAAGACATTCCTCAGGCTTCTAATCCCAAGTTCTACTACAAGGTAATCAAATTTCCAGAAAACAACCGCTCAGAGTCCTCATTAACTCAGGCAGCCTTTGCCTGCAGGGGTGACAAATGCCTTCAGGGATGAGACAGGTAATTTAGGCCACAGACTGTCGTGAGACTAAGGGGGAGCTGTGGTTAACTACAGTGGAACGAAAAGCTCATGGCTTGTTTAAAGGTGTTCATTTTCTAATTTTTCTGAACTGCTAGTAAATGAACAAAAACACTCCCCCCAAACCAAAGCACACAAAAAGCTGTGTGCTGCCCAAAACCCCCCCACAAAGAACAAAAAACCCACCACAACCAACAAAACCCATATTTCAGAACCTCTTCATCTTGGCCCTAGTTAAACCATTTTAATCTTTTTGTGGAGATCATAAACAAGATTCTCATGTTTTCTTATATTAATTATATTTAATGTTTTCTTACACTAATTCTTTGGTCATACCTTTGGTGCTCTGAAAGCACTTTTAGGGGGCGGTAGTTTCCAGGCCGAAGGGGATCTCCACATGGGCAAAGGCTGTATTGGAATATCTTCATATGGATTTTCTTTGGAGGGATCTTAAAAAATAATGGGAAAAAAAGTTTAGAGAAACATAGTTAAATGGAAACAAAGTGAATACAGCTAGGAAAAGAAATAAAGAACTGACTGAATATGTTCAGCTTCATATTCTATATTGCTAGAAGGATGTAGGTCTCAAAATCAATGGCACTTTAAGTTTATAGACCACTCAGGCATCTAACCGAGCTAAAAGCATTCTCAAAATACTATACCTAAACATCTACTTCTGAACTGAGCAGTCCACTAAACTAACTGTAAAAACCATTCAAGAACAAAAGAATTTATATGACTAAAGTTACCGTATTAAAAAGAAATATCTAGGGGCACCTGGGTAGCTTGGTTGGTTGAGTGTCTGACTCTTGATTTCAGCTCAGGTCATGATCCCAGGATCGTGAGGTCAAGCCCTGTGCCAGGCTTTGCACTGGGCGTGAGGACTGCTTAAGATTCTTTCTCTCTCTCCCTCTCCCCCCCGCCCCAGCCCTCTCCCCAGCAAGATGTGCATGGTTATAAAACAAAATACCATCCTATAGTTAAGAGTTCCACCACCAAATACATACTCATTAAATTTAATTGCAAAGTTTGTGGACACATACATATGATATCCTCATAGATATTGTCCTCAGACTGTGTATAATAAAGTGCTGAGCCAGAATTTCTTCCAAGTTCTTCATGAATCTTCTGTGAGTTCCGATTTCGAAAGTGCTGAATATCCTCAAATTCAAAGGATTTCCTTAAGAAAGGAGATATGTTTTAAAGTTATATGTTTTAAAACTCTAGTATTCTTTAAATTGGTATGATAGTGAGACATCTATAAGTAAAGGACTTGCATGCAAAATTACAAAGGTGCTTTATCAGATACTTGAGAATAATAAACTAGGCTGGTACCCTATAGGCATGCACCATGAGAAAATTGGAGGCTTTTGGCTAATTACATTCGTGTTCTTTATCGTGTACCTTTATTAAGTTAACCCACTAGTGAAAAGTGAAGCCAAAGCCAGCATGCCCCAAATGAAGCAGAAGAATGTACTTACATCCCTACACATTCTTAAAAATATAAAACTCAAGTCTTTCTGATGCTCTTGGGTCCATACACTGTCTTACATATTACCTATACTTCTATTTCCTTTTGTAGGTACTTTCCCCTCGGGTCAATCAACATCTGTAGAATCAACCTAGGCCTCTAACCCATGCAGGAAAGTAGTTCCATAAGGACAATGCTGAGAAATCATCACCTAGCAAATAAAAACATACCTTTTAGATCTCCCTCTGATTTGTCTGCCATATTTCTTTGGTTCGGGTTCCTGAGAAGAGGCCAAAGAATACTCTGCACAAGAATTATTTTCACAGTTTTTTCTGTCACAGTTTCTTTCTTTACATGGCACAACACCAGACTCAGATAAATATCTGAACGTCCTACGAGGCTTGGGCAAAGGATTTATAGAAGGTCCACATTCCTGTCCCTCGGGTTCAGAGTAAATATTTTCTAAGCTCTTGGTTATTCCATATGAACTATCCGGAACTTGGAAATTCAGTTCTTTTTCTGAATGTTCTAAAGCCAAATTGAAGACTTTATCTGGGGGAAGTGCCTCTATTTTCTTCCACAGTATCTGTGAGGTATAGAAATTTCCTGGAGGTAAGGAAGTCTCTGCATCCAAAACGTCTTTCCAGCTTTCAATCTGTTTGACCTGAGAACATACCCAACTGGATTCTGATTCATTTCTAAATGGGTGTGTACGATTATCTTCATGTTTCTCACTTTCACCGTCAGTTTGGTCCTGGCTTTTGGCATCTGCATTGATATCTAGACCGACATTTTGAGAGTTGGCTGCATCCAACTTTTTGCTCTTTCCCTCAACAACAGGATTTTTCTCAAGAATCTCTTGATGACAGTTATTATACCTCACTCCAAAGTCCTTTGGATGCCACCTTTCTGGGTTAGATATACCATTCGTTCTTCCTTCCCACTGAGAAATTTTTTGTTTGATATTTTTGCAGTGGCTTCTTGACAGGGTCTGAAGAGCAGAACGAGAAAAACCGGCATCCATGTTCCCAGTTGGGTGCATGACAAAGTGTGAATTCTACTGAGGTTCCATCATAAGTAACCGTGAAATACTGTATTCTTTATTCTGTCAGTTAGAATCCAAGCAATTCTAGTATTTTCCTTTCATGTTTAACTTGGAAGTCTCTTTTTAAAAAGAAGGATTTTGATCACTGGTCCTTGTTGAAAATGGTTACAACTTTATCTTGAATGTTCCTATTAAAATGAGACAAGAATATGTTAACACAGTTTTAGAATTTCCTAATTTAAAGACTACTAAAACACTGCCTCTATCTATCCCTAAATAATTCGTTTACATTGCACATGCAAAAATGTGCCTGTCATCCATTAAGTAATTCAACTCCATAAAGGCATTCCTAAGATGGTGATATAATACAGAGAAAATATTAATTTGTGATATTTCTCAAATTATCAGCTTTAATGTTCTGCCTTATTTAATTTCCTAAAGTTAGGTAGACTGAGGTTTTATAAGAGATTACACGTAGTAGTAAACAATGTTAAAATCCATTCTTTTTTTTTTTTCATTTTTTTGACATTTTATTTATTTTTGAGAGGTGGAGAGAGACAGAGCACAAGCAGGGGAGGGGCAGAGAGAGAGGGAGACACAGAATCCGAAGCAGGCTCCAGGTTCTGAGCTGTCAGCACAGAACCCGACATGGGGTTTGAACTCGTGAACCGCGAGATCATGACCTGAGCTGAAGTCTGATGCTCAACCAACTAAGCCACCCAGGTGCCCCTAAAATCAATTCTTTATGGAACCTTCTCTTAAGGAAACAAAGACCAGCAGAGTATTAAAAAAAGTGCACACACACCGAAATACATCTCGAATAACTAAAAGGTTTATGTATGCATCCAGAGGAAGAGCCAGTTAGTCTGGAAGCACGTGAATACCTGATTTCTTCCCCTTGTCCTATGTTGGGGACAACACTAGCCCTCGTTTCACATCCTCTTATGTCGGCTTTACTATTAGCAGCACAGGACTCTGTCTGCACAGTGCTAAAGACCATCCAATGTGCCATTAACTATTAGCTGCTTTAAAATATAATAACCTATTTCGTCACTGACTGAACTTTCCACATCTCTGCCACCACACCCTTGGCCCAAATTGGCAAAAATACTTACAGCCACTGACACACTCCTTCCTTTCACATACAGGCTTCACTCATTTAAGCTCATAAATGTTTCCTCAAATGTAAAATGTGGCAAAGAACTTTTCTTATCAAGTGAGCAAAGACCTGATCTCAAGTCAGACTATACTGGTTATAAATAGTAGCTGATTCAAAACTTCCTGAAGCAGGGGTCATCCTTCCTTGAGCTTTGTCTGTGGGGCCTTGATTAACAGGCAGGAAAATATCTTGGCCCAGTTCTGTCAGTGCAGCTGACAGTTCACACACACAATTTCTTCCAGGCAGGGCAGCTGCTCATCAGGACTTCTATCAACTTCCATTTAAACCATTCCTAGAAGCTTCTAGGAAAACCAGCTTTGCCAGCAAATAACCTTTGATGAGGATCCAATGCAGGAAAATTCTACATAACCTTAAGAAATTGAACTAATGTGAGTGGGAAGAAAAAAACTCCCAAACCCCGAAATACCAAAGCTGTTGCTGCAGAACTCTCTCTCTCTCTCTCTCTCTTTTTTTTTTTTTTTTTTTTTTTTTGCTGCTGCCACCACAGCTCCCAGCCCCTGCTGTGTGTGACCCGCCCGCACCATCTGGCACCCAGGCCCAGAACTCTCAGTAAAAGACTAACGCATACAATTTGAAGGTCCAGTCAGTTACTGCTCATTGCTAAAACTGAAAATCCTTTTGTTGTTTCTGATGTTTACAGAGGATTCCTAAGGGTTTTAGGGTGTCCTTGAGTCTTGGGTTTTCTTCACTATAGACAAGATGGGAGTACAGTTGATCCTTGATGGAGGTCGGGATGAGCTTCCGCAGAGTTGAAAATCTGCGTCTAACTTTTGACTCCCCCCCCAAAAGCAGCCTCCAGTTGGCAGGAAGCCTTAATGATAACATAAACAGCTGATTAATACATATTTTGTATGTTCTATGTATTGTATACTGTATTCTTACAATAAACAGAGAGAGAAGAAAATTCTAAGAAAATTTAAGGAAGAAAAATATACTTACAGTACTGTACTGTATTTATAGAAAAATATCCACCTATAAGTGAATTATAACACACACAATTCAAACCTGTGTCGTTCAAGGGTCAACAGTATTTTTCTCTCTCCTAGGAGCCCAGTAGAGGTTGTCAGCAGTCCTTGTTGATGTTTTCTTTACTTTTCCTTTGTTAATACGTGAAGGTATGTAACGCAGGAATGTATGTAATGTATGAATGGGTCAAACTGGGAAGAAAGATGAAATCTGCTAAAGCTAACAAACAAAAATTTTTTTAGGGCTAAAGAAATTTTTAACTTGAAAATTGCTAGCAACAAATGCTGACTTTATGAGATTCACACACAAATATGAATGATGTGCACTGATAGTGTTTCAGTGGCAATGGAGTAGCGGAGCAACATGGGACACTCCTAACATAAGCAGGAATTATAAATATTTTTAAATGTTTATTATTTATTTTTGAGAGACAGACAGACAGACACAGCATGAGCAGGGGAGGGGCAGAGAGAGAGGGAGACACAGAATCCGAGGCAGGCTCCAGGCTCTGAGCTGTCAGCACAGAGCCCAACGTGGGGCTTGAACCCACAAACCCTGAGATCACGACCTGAGCTGAAGTCAGATGCTTAACCAACTGAGCCACCCAGGCGCCCCAGGAGGAATTATAAAGAGAAATGCTACTTGCTCCTAAATGTATGTATTAATACACTATAGCTTTCAAAAAGTGGACAAACTATTTCAAAAACAAAAACGTTTTAATGCATTCTAGATGGCTTCCTATATAGATAGTATAGAGAATCTGTCTTTATATCTGATTTCATAGTTCCAAGTTTTGACAGATCAAACTCTTTATAATGTGGCTTCCCTGTTCTTATATATAAGCTATATACACGTTCTGTTTTTGTCCCATCCAAAAAATAAGAATCGCTCACTAAGCCAAGAATTGCCTCAGGTGTTTTCCTATAGGCATCTCATGTCTGACTTTAACCTAATTAAATTCGGAGCCACCTTGCACCTCAGCACCTCCTTCATGTGGCTCCGTGTGATCCTTTATACCCCACACCCACCTCCCCAGTTTCTTGTGTTGACTTCCACTATCATGGACACTCTAAGCCCTAAATGGGGGCCCAGTTTTTAAGTCCTAGATCTCTCCACAGTTTCATCTTCAGAAAACTCCCTAAAGCCAACTCACACATTTGTCCCTAGAGATTTCTTTCTCAAGTTTGCTTGAAGAGATCTAACAAAAACACAGACTGAGAGAATATGACCGCTTCAACAATTCTTCAAAAAATTTTCTTCTCTTCATAGCATGAAATGAGTCAGATGAGTCAGCCTTCTCTATCCATTAAAGATTACTGAAGTCGGGGAGGAGTCACAAAAAGAGGGGGTAGAGCGCTCAATAACCACAATGGGCATCTCAACTGAAGAAACAATTCCTCGAGTGAGCAGAAGTACCAATATGAAAAATCAGGCACGATTTAAAAGTTCAAAATAAAACAGCATGCTTGAAATAAAGGATACGAATCAAACTCTTTTTTCTGTTTTTTGTTCCCAAAGAGGTGATCCTTAATAATGCCTCCTTGTTTTTATTTTTTTTTTCTTTTCTGAATATTTACTTCACCCAAGAAACACATCAACTGTAGTTTATCATTTTAAAATGTAATGTATACTATAACTTATCATATATAAGATTCTGATTCTAGCATATTAAAAGAAACCCATTTGAATCCATTCGGGTAAGTGAAATACTCTTTGGGAAAGAGAATACTGACGCTCTATTTTACTAACTCAAGTCTTATATGGGAGAGTGTCTTGCTCCAAATCCTGTAAAATATTTTATTTGATCAAATATAAGTATCTGACAAAATAGGAAGAATATGGAACATTCTAACAGTTGGTTTAAAAGTTGATGAAAGGATATGCCTTTACTTATTTATTTTAATGTTTATTTATTTTAGGGGAGAGAGAGTGTGAGTGTGGATGCACACAAGTGGGAAAGAGGCAAAGGGAGAGGGAGAGAGAGAATCCTAAGCAGGCTCCATGCTCCATGGGGCTCAATCTCATGACAGTAAGATCATGCCCTGAGCAGAAATCAAGAGTCAGACATTTAATCAACTGAGCCACCCCGGTGTCCCATAAACTGATGAAAGGGTATGCTTTTAAATGATTAATATTTTTTTATGTGAATTTTACCTCAATTAGAAAGAAAACTGATGAAAGGGACCAGGAAGACTCTTACTTCTGGCCACGATGGAGTAACTGAACTAGACTCACCTTCCCAACATAAAGGATTATAAAATAAGACATATATTAAATAAATGCTTTCACATATTGGATAACAGACAACACAGGGCTGTGGTGTTTGAAAGAAGAAAAACAAATGAAGCAGGCACTATGTTGGCCCAGTTTTCACCCTGGAGGTTCTTTCCAGAAAACAGCACAGAATATGAAAGCCTTGCTGAGTTACAGATAAAGAGATCAGAGTTTGAAGGGGCTAGAGAAGACGGAATTTTCAGGGCAGAGTATCAGAAAGGAGGAAGCAACACAGAAAAAGCTCCAGAAATCTACATAGGATCCTCTTGAGTCTTGGTTTGAAAACTAAGTTGCCAATGCACAGGGTTGAACACTACACAAGGCTGGAAATAAATTACTGGCAAAGGAACAACTACAGGGGACCTGCAAGATGACTAATATCCAGAGTTCACAAAGGTCTGGGAAATGTTCAACTTCCAATGATCTACAGAGGAGCAGACTTGTCCAACATCCAGGGAATTCAGTAGATACGTTAGGAGGTCATGGCTTGTCAGTAGGACTAAACTAGCCCTACAGTTTACTGTACTTTAGAGCTACTATGCTCTTTATGCTACTTTAGAGCTACCCGAACAAAGTTTTTAAAAGCCCTAAAAGGATCAAGTTTATTCATAAGTGAAGTACCCCCCCAAATTAAACTCAGTAATTTTTATATGAAGACATCAAAATGTAGACACTCAGCAAATGTAACATTCACAATGTGCAGCATCTGTTCAAAATTACAAAACAGGTAAAGAAGACTAAAGGTGGGAAAAATCAAGAGAAAAATCA